GCTCCATAGGTTTTGAAATAAACCAGTTTATATCCAATTTCAAATATACCGAATAGTGTTTTTTCGGCTATTGACTTCGGTTATTCGAAAACCTATAGAACGAACTACAATAACTTTGTTCTCATTTGAAAGATAATTTAATTCTCTACAACTTTTGTTTCGGTACTTTTTGTTAAAAGACGCATACTTTCCCTGATATTTGTAAAAATGTAAAAAATAACCGCGATTTCAGAGGTTTTTGGGCGCTAACTTTTTAAGAGAATAGAGAGAAAAATGAGCTCCAAATATTTTTTTATTCTCCTCGGAACTTAGAAATATCTTGATACGCGATACGACATACGCAATATCGAATTTTGAGAAACAGAAGTTTATTCTACTATAATTTTCCTATAATTTTGTAATTTTTTATAGAGTTTTAATCATTAACAGCATTAATTAATTCTTTCACGTTCATGTGATCGTCCGGTAATAAGTATATTGTCAGGTTCTTGCAAAATATTATACGAAAAATCGAGATATCTCTTGCAATATTGGTTGGAGCGTAGAAATTAAGAGTAAAAGTTAAGAGTTTCTTTTATATTTCGTGGCGTGCTATACAGGACTCTAATTAAAAAACCAAAAATGCGAAAAAAATCTTCTTATCCTAATACTTGGATGTGTCTTTATACGATATGCGAAAAATTATGATTTCCAAAACGCGGAGATATATTCTATTCTATTATAATTATTATATTTTCCTATAGTTTTAACCGTGTTCTTTCGAATCCATAGAGTTTTAATCATTAACAGCTTTAATTAATTTTTTTTACACAAACACATATTTATAAAATTACTTACATATTAATTCGAATTACCCGTTTTTTCAAAATCGATCGAAGCAAAATTATACACATATACTTAATATTTGAACTGTCAAATACGCGACTCTCAGCCATGATAAAATATATATTAAATATATTATTACACATTCTCATCCATTCCCGATCTAAAGCAACAACACTTTGTTGTTTGCAAACCCAATCGATCCGAAACCGATCGACGTTGCGTTATTAGTTGATTTTAGCCTCGAAACGATGCCGACGTCGGCGTAGCTCAAAGATCGATTCGTCGAAAAGATCGGTCGCAGCGTGTGTTCCTTCACGAAAAATCTGCAAGCTCACGCCCGTGAAAATATTTTTTGTACGCGTAACACAAGTGTGTCCCGTCCGAACTCGTCGGTGTTTCCTTTAGACGCGTATTCCTACAAGGCATTTCGTCTCGTGTGCAAACATCGCGCCGTGGTTTGCCTGGTAATTGCTGGAAACACCTCGCGAGTGTTTACAGTGTCATCGACAGGCCCGGTCACACCTCGCCCGTGCGGGTTCTACGAAAGCTCGTGTCACAAAGAAGTGATGCATGGTCTAAAGTATAATCTGAGAAATTTTGTATACGAGATTCTATTAAACGAAAGATCTTAAAAGCTCGATTAATTTATTTGGATGATATAATTTTAATACGCAATATATTCGTGAATTAAATGGTTTGTGTCATAAACCGTAAAATAAAATCTTTTTTTATGTAAATTAAATTTCATCCTTTCTCTTATATACGAAATAAAAGAAAACTGTGTATTAATTACATACAATAAAGCTTGCGTATATTATGCGAGTTATTCGGAATCAGATACATTATTGATCCTATAATTATATACACAGTATTTAATACACAGTAAAACTTGAAAAAAGAGACGCGCACAATGCAAGTAATTGTCACGGATGCTGCAATCTATTGCACAATTATAATATAATGGAAGAGCATTATTTATTCTTATTACAGCGATTATTTATTCTTATTATTGGCAATGATGAGAATATTATACACGACTAGTATATCTTTTGCAAAATGCATGGACATCCATAAAGGTTATAATGGATGAACATTTATAGGCATCATACAAGATGAGATGAACGGAATAAATTTCAATCTGCATAAATCGTTCCTTATGGCTCCATCTATAGAAACTTCTTAGGAATAAGTCGATTTCAGATGATAAACCAAAAATAATTTAAAAATTAAATATATAAAATTTGTTTTCCTTCTTTACACTCGTTTTTTAAAAAGATGATACAATGAATACAGAGTTGAACAATAAAGAATTTTAATGTTATTTTTAATATTTATTCGGCTTTTGTATAGTTTTCTGTTAATGTGTTACATAAATAAAAAATGGATATTAGAATTTTTTTTATGTAGTGTAAATTATATACATAATTATATAATAGTTATAAATATATAAATTCTATGTCTATAAATATTAGAAATAAACTATAATGTCGAATTTTATTTATGTAATGCAAATGATTCATTCTTTGAAATTTCTGAGAAGTTTTTAAAAAAGAAATTGGATATATCAACTTATAATTTATTCCACATAATAGAAATAATTTGTGAAGTACAGAATAAAACAATATACAAAACTATATTTAATAATTTAATTAGCTTCCATTTCCTCAGCTTCTAATTCATTGTTAGATTCTTCATCTATATACATTTGTTCTTGCTCTTCTTCTGCTTCTTCTTGTCTCTTCTTTTCCTTAAGACCAGCAGCTGGCGAGCGAATAAGAGACAAATTACGTTTCACCTCCTTAATATCTTTCTCTTCTTCCAATTCCCTTCCCTTATGTAACCGCTGCATAATGTGTAAATTCTGCCGCTTCTGCCTAATAGTCTCTACTTTTTTCATTGCTTCCACAGACTTGGTCCATAATTCCCTGTTATATTTCATAGGTATGTTTCTTCTTTTTTCAAACTCGAATGATGGATCCACTGTCAATTCTTTGCCAACCGTTTTTCTGTATGCTTTAGTCCATTTGACTTTCCTGGGATTCTTCTTTTTCTTAAATGCAGCGTGACATTTTGAACGACAAAATTTGAATATCTGTAACATTTGTAAAATACAACAATATTATTTAATAAAGATAATCGAAGATCTCATCAAAGATAGTTATAACCGCGATTATTAAAAGAATAAATGAAAACAACGATCTTTTCGAAAGGATTCAGTTTCTATTTCTGAAAATAAATAAAATATGTGAAAAAAATTGCCGAGTATTCTTACAATTAATATATATTGGAATGTTTACGAGACGTATAACCTTATTTCGATACTAACGCATTATGCACTGCTATTCTCTCCAAATTTATATCCTGCAATTTATATAATCTTTAATTAACTATGACTCTTTCTTACCTTACAATCATTCCTCACGAATTGAATCCCATGTCCCGGATATATCCGGGATGAGCAAAAATAACACGATTCTATACGCATTTTGTAAAAAGTTCTGAAAAGTCTAGCACATGCAAACACATGGTCTGCTAGTGTTTCTAAATAGTTTCTAGATGAAATCACAGATGGCGAGAGGTATCTCGATGCCCGTATATCGACTATTGTCTCGAATTATCCGATATATCGGAAAAGAATTTCAGATAGTACGAAATACATATTTGACATTTTATATTATTTTTTTAAATAAAATATGATTAAATATTTTTAACATATAGTGACAGACTGTAACAGACAATTACATTTTAGCAAACTATTTTTGATAGGCATAATTCTTTATTTTTAGACTAAAAAAAAAATATATCTCTGTAATTTTTAACAAAAATGAAAAATATCTATAGTTTTTTAAATGGAAATTTTCTAAGTTTCTATGAATTAATGTTTTTTTTTCCATGCGTCTCTAGCATTTTTTAAGAGGTCTGATTAGCGCTTCAAGAATTCTGTCGGAAAGTATTATTACCCAAATCGATCATAATAAAAAAATTATTAGCATTTCTTATATAACAAAAGTGTAAAGTTTGTACAACATACTTACAAACTTCGTTTTTTACAATTTTTGCTGAAACTTTCTTTTAATATATTAGGAAATGCAAAACTTTTTTTATATAAAAAGAGAAACACCAGAATTTTAAGAATAATATGCTAATGTCAAAAATTTATTTTTATTTTTGAACAATGCTTCTTTCTTAAAGAATCAAAGAATGTACGCAAAAAATAGATACATCAGTAATGGCAATATAATGAAAAGTTAAGAAAAGATAAATTCGTCAATAGGTAGTTTAAAATAAAATAAATACATTGATGCAAATACGTGATGCATCTTTCTGATAGATAGTACTATCGCGCGTAAAAATAGTGCAGATCGTTTATCTTATATACAGAACATTGTTTGACACACAGAGAGTGTGATCGAATAGTTTACTTAAAGTCTAATAAAATGCTACGTGAACAGATTTATCCTGTAACATTATTAAAAATTAGAATATAAATCTCATATATATTTGTAATATATAAACATGTGTGTGTGTGTCAGTGTAATGTGTGACAGATAGTTTTTCCGACGTAATAATTACATATTCCCGCGACGCTGTTGTCTCGGACGTTGGCGCGATGCTTCGAAGCGGCTCGACTTATAGACAAGTATCGATTACAAACGGAGAGCTACTAATTTAATATCGGGATCGAACGCCGTAGCCGTTATAGTTCCGCGTTCGTCTCGCGAGTTGTCTCAGTGATACCGGGTGACGACTGTTGACCGGACGTGTTCTTTTTCCGCGCGTGTTTTTGGTGAGGAGAAGACATGTGGGGCCACATATTGATCTCAATCGTCATCCTGCTAACGTCGTTGCTCTATCATTATCACTTCAGCGAGCCGGCCAGCATTATCGATTATCCCGAGACGCATTATGACTACGTCGTCGGTGAGTTCGCGCTTGTCGATTTACATTTATCGGCATTTTTGTCTTCTCCGCGATTCCAGCGCACTATTTTTTTCCTCCTTCTCCTCTTTCCGGTGTCTCGCGAGATACACAGTATCGATTTTTAATCAAAGTGGATTTGCGCACGTCCCGCAATGACAAATTGCATTGCACTGGATTGAAGCACTCTTTAGAATAAATAGAAAATATCAATAACAAATCATTCCTAGTCCTTTCGTAAAGATAAAATTGATTGCCTCCATTGTGTCAATTGCAAATACATAAATTTAAACATTATTAAAGAGAAACAATTTTTTTCTGGTTTAAATTTATTGTACAAATCTAAAACTTGAAACTTAATTTAACAAAAATTTCTATAGCCATATTGTTTTGTAATGATGGTAACATTTCGTCCATATCATGATGAAGTAAAAAAGCTACTGAACTTTACAAACATTTACGATAAAAATTATTATTGGATTTAAGTCGGCGCTGGTACGTCCGGCTGCGTGATTGCATCACGGCTCTCGGAAATGTCAAACGTGACCGTTCTGCTCGTGGAAGCCGGCGGATATTTCGGATGGACATCGGTTATACCGCTCTTAGCGCCAATGATGCAGGGCACCGAAGTCGATTGGGCCTATAAAACGGAGCCGCAAGTTTTCTCGTCCCGAGGATTCAACGGCTATGTAATTAAAACTCTATCTTCCGGTAACTCCCTTTCGTGTGAAAGAACGTGAGAACGGTTTCCGTAGCGATCTTTTGATACACAATGTAATTCACAAAGCACCAAGATATGGCTGTGACTGTAACATTCTGTTGAATAATAATATTCGCATTAATCTCTGTCTAAAAAAAAAAAGGATTATGCCAAATTATAAATTATTGTTTTACGCCAAGTGTAGGTAGACGAAACATTTAACAAATTCGTATTTTCGTATTTTGTATTTTCGGGCTCCTTCATCGGTCATGTTTGTTTAGAAACAAAACTGGCCGAGGGGAAAGGGATTGGGTGGGAGCGGGCAGCTTAATTACCTCGTCCATTCCTTCGGGAGGCCCGAGGATTACAAGAAATGGCCCAAGGGCTGGTCACACGCCGATTTGCTCCCCTACTTTCAAAAAGTGTCCGATATTATGAACGTTGTCCCAATGCCGGAGGAAGAGTATCTAACAAAGGCCTTCGTTCTGGCCGAAGAATCCTTGAAGCTGGATAACGTATCCCTGCGGAAGGCAATGTACACCGCGAAGAGAGGTACCAGGTGGAGTACACATCACGCTTATTTGCAGAAGGCTTGGAATCGCAAGAACTTACATATCCTCACGAATACGCTCGTTACAAAGGTACAACAATTTTGAAGTTTAGTATTTCATGTGTCACACTATAATCCTTGATAAAATGCATTTTACTTACTAATTTCATCACACTCAAAAATTATTATCAAAAATAATTGTTCACCTTTTAGCTTTCTAACTTTGTTCATATAGACACATCCCTTTGATTCGATTTTTTACAGATAGTTTTCAAGAATAATAAAATCGATGGCATTAAAGTGATGTATAAAAACGGTTCAACCGGGAAAATCGGCGTGAGAAAGGAAGTAATCCTTTGCGCAGGCACTGTCAACACTCCGCAGTTACTTCTGATCTCCGGCGTAGGACCAATCAGCGAATTGGAGAAGCATAAAGTAATAAATTAGAAATATTACCGTAAATAAATTTTTCAATCTCGCATATAAAACGGTAACGATTCGATCCGCAGATATCTGTAGTACGAGATCTTCCGGAGGTAGGCCGAAATCTGTTCGATCATCTGAACGTGCCCGTTTACGTGAATCTGCGAGAGCGCGTCAGTATTACGCTCGTGAAATTGCAAACTGTGCCGGAGGTGTTCAATTATTTCACCTTCGGAACCGGTAATATGGAATAACGCGCTAATGATCGGCGCGATCGTTTATCCGCGATATGCCTATTGACGCATTCCGTGCGGTCGATGTAATCTCGCCATATACCTTTTTCCCCGTTGCATGTCAAAGGATGGTTGGCTACTAACGGCGTAATGGGATTGGGGCGTGCTAATAACAGTGGCCTCCTTCTCTTCGGAATAGCGTCCACGGAGGAAAAATTGCTGAAGGCCATCTCAAATTTTGAGACCGAGGTGAGTGAACCAGCCAGCAGCTACGTATTTAAATTTCAACTAAGATTCGTAGTTTCTGCTTTTGAGGGAAAAAATTACAAATTATGTAATTTGATTGAAACATTTTATTCATAGCGATTATATTATTTGCATTTTCATCAAAGCTATATATGTCGATCCAAAAAGATTAACAATCGATTATCAGACGTATAGGTCGCTATTTCCGTCGTATAACGATAGCATGCACGAGGGATTCGTTTATCTCGCGTCGTGCCTGCAACCCAAGAGTCGCGGAAGCGTAACATTAAGATCTAGCGACATCCGCGATCCGCCGAGAATCGATCCCGCGTATCTCCAGGACTCTGACGACGTCACGTGCACCTACCGAGGTAAATGGTCCCTCAAAAAATTTTTATTGTCGCTGAAAAAGTTGTGGAATTTTCTTTAGCACGAATTTATTTAAATTAATAATCAATCTTATTAATAATCAATCTCTTGACGATTTTCCGGTAAGCTTTAAACTTCGCGCTGGAGACTCTTAATACGAGACTCTTTCGCGAATACGGTGCCAAGGTCCACATCCCCGATTTCGAGGAATGTCGTCACTTACGACAGGACTACCGGGACTTTGATTATTCGGAGTGCGTCATGAGAATCGCAGGGCTCACGGCTTATCATCCGTGCGGCACATGCAGAATTGGCGCGGTTGTGGACGAGGAATTAAGGTGAAAAATAGGGAGCGTTTACTATTGTAGGACACATTGTGTGAGACGAGATCAAGCGGATTAATTGTAATAAAAATATAATCTCGTTCGCCAGGGTAAAAGGCGTGAGTGGATTAAGGATAATGGACGCCAGCGTAGTGCCGTCTCCGATTTCCGGTACGCCGAATTCAGTTCTCATCGCGATGGCCGAACGCGCATCCGACATAATTCTGGATAGAACGTTTTATTGAGAATCGAGATATTCATTATGTGTAATATGTATATATACGATTTATATTAATAAAAAGAAAAGAAATAACATATACGTAGTTCAGGCATTGCAATTGTGATTAATCGTCGATGATCGATTGCAATCTAGGAAAAACAGTGTTTAAGGGGAGACGAATGAACAATATCCATGGTGCTCCAAGTTTTTTGTAATTTATAATTAATGGTAAAGTTTTTCTTTTGTTTTACAGTAATCGAACAGTTATTAATAGTCTCTAATTAAATTTCGATTAATTTTTATACAAACAAAAAGGGTGAGTTACACTCAACGGCATAGCCACGAATCCCTGCCACCCCGTTCGCGCTCGGAGTATAAAGAAAAAAAGAAACTTATATTTTTTTACACGTTCTCTCCGTTAAAGAAGATTTCTTTCACCCCAGTTCCCGTCCGGGATCGTTTGCGATGTGTGGCAGAGTTTCGACGTTCTTCCTATCCCACTTTCGCATCTTGCATTTCTCTCTCTCTCTCTTTCTCATGCATATCCATACGCAAATACATATACGCTCTTTTCTCGTCTTTCCTATTTCGCTTTCTATCAGTTTTCACTTCTCTCATGCGAATCCGTATTGGTATTTCTCCTCGCATCGATCGCTTTTCTTCTTTAGCTCTCGCTCTTTCTCGCAAGCACTCACACACACATACGTACATATCCACGCATACCTTTTGTCGCCTCTTATAAATAAAATAGTTCGTAATATATATATCTATATATAACGCGAAATGTCGTTTCGTATTTTCTCGAAAACACAACTATGCCCGTGCGCGCTTCGCTCATACCGCAGATAAACGAGCCCTCTCGGCGTCTCGCATCTGTTGTCTCTCCCCCTTTTTTTTTTAGCTTCTTTCTCTTCCACCCCATATATATAGTAATAATTCGTAACGTAAACTTAATCTCTCAACTTAAAACAAAATTGGTAACCACGTATTCGCGGCGCACGCCGCGAGTCTCGCGTCCGCGCCGGAAAAACCTTCATTCATCCGCGAGTGGATGAAAAATGATATGAATAAAAACAACGTGGCACGCGAATCGAACGAAAAAAAAGGGACTCGTAGACCGGACGATTTCCTGAATCGTGTTATCGGCGACGAAACGATTTCGTTCGTTGACAAATTTGTGCGCTACGAATGTATCGTGCCGACGCGACCCAGAAATACCGAGAAACCGAAGTGATTCGCGCTAATCCGATACGCATAAGTTGATTTGATGGCAAATCCGATTACGCGTTTGCGATTTAGAAATCGTATAGTCCCCGAGGGGCTATAAGATGTAAGATAATTTGGCGCAAATCAGCGAGAAACACGCGAGACTTCCCGGGGAAAAAAAAAAAAATATTCGCCATGTGATTTTGGACCTCGCGGTATTTTCGACGCGCCGGAAGGAGCTCGCCGGACGTGCACCGCGCCTCCGGATGCATAAACGCCATATTTCTTTTTTTTTTTTTTATTATTTTACTATAGATAGAGTTTTTTCTTGCTTTAGTTTTTGTAGAGAATGCAGTCGCATCGCGGGACCACGACGACGGGGATCACTTAAGATCTAAACAAGTACTCCTTAATGTTAGATATATAACTATCTATTTTTATATGTATATATATATACTTTTTTCATATATATTTATATTGAAAAATGAGTGTATTCTCTCTTTCTCTCTCTCTTTCTCTCGTTATCAATATAGGGATAGATTATCAATTAATTTGCAATTGCGTGTAACATAGACGCGTCCAGCGCATAGAAACATAAATAAATAAATATAAACGGATGTATTTACATTATACTCAGGTAGAAGAGGGGGAGGGGTATGTGATATCATGGAAGGTCCGATGGGATATATATATTTATATATATATTCCCTTCTCTATTTATCTTCTCTGTCCCTATCTTTTTAAATATATGTATATGTATGCATATTAACGTATAAATCTCATTCGTCTGTTGTCTATTGTACGATGCCGGTATATCTACTTTACCTCGGTAAATATGCGACAATGATAGAAAAAACAAAGAACAAAAATAATACTTGGTGAAAACAGAGGAACCGGAAAGGAACCGTAGATAGCTATATATATAATATGCGCGTAACTATCGGTATACATATATATAAATATAGATACGGAGTTCTGAGGTAGAAGCGGTTTCGTATACTTATCAATATGTTGTATCATTATTGTGTGTGTATAAGTATTGGTGAGAGGTCTGCATGACTATCGGTATTCTCCGAGTATCAGGTAAACAACTTGCGTCCAACGAAAAAGAAAAACTCGCATATCTTCGCCATTGACATGACGTTGAAAAAAAGAAAATGAAGGAAAAACAGAAATTAAACGGTAATCTGATAAATAGATTTAATAAATTTGACAATTGTTCGTTGATCAGAGAAGGAGAGGATTCTATTGGCATTGACGGTGATCCTCGCGTCCACCGAGACGAAACGAAAAAAGTAAAGCCTTAATTGTTTCGTACAAAATTCATTTTTCAAGTAACTACGTTTTACGTGTATGTACTACGTTTAAATTAAAGAAAAATTACTAAACTCGGTGGGGGATGTAAACGGCCGGTCGAACGGATACTAGCAAACGGAAGGGTTGATCGGCGACGAGCCGCTCGAAAGGGAAGGGAAAGTAACGAGAAACGAGGTGAAATAAGTCAACGAAGAATAAATATATATAACAACGAGAACATACGCATACGTTTGACGTTTGCGAGAAAAGGATTCGCGTTGAGTCGCATAAAGAAACTCGAAAAAAGCGCGTGGACCCGCTATATATATATGTATGTATACGTGTATGTATAATTTGTATGTATAATAACCGCCGAGACGCGGTTACTATTTTCCTGCGGACGACGCAAGGCCGTCGAGCGGGAAAATTGCGAGAGAAAATCAACGATAAGAATCCGGCGGTGATTTCTGTAGCGAGCGATCGAAAAGATTCGCGGCGATCATTAAACTCACGACAATGTATAAGAAAGGCTTAAAAAAACAAAAAAAAAAACGAACACACCTACACAGTCCCTACTATACACCCGACTATTGCATCACTTGATTTATTGATTTATGTTTATTTAAGAACCTTATCGACTATTATACTTTGTAGTTTGTACTTGGTTTTCATATTCCTGAGAGAAGGGCTCGCGACGCGTCGCGCGCCGTTCGTCGACGTTCTCGGGAAAGTCTCTGTCCTATCATTGATAGCTTCTCTCCACTATTCTCTCCGTGTCTTCCCCATTTTTCTCGATTCCTATTCCATTTCCCGAGACGAGACGAGACGAGACGAGACCGGCAGCGCGACGCGCCGATCCGATCTTGCAAACTATCGCTTTACTGTGTTATATACAGTGATCTTTCGTAAGCTTCATTCTGTGTGCACCCTGTAAGTCGTATGTGTGAGGTAGCATTTGTACTAGTATCTGGCAAAGTATTGTGATCCGTTATTGCGGCGGCCGCGGCCGTTTTGGACGCGTCGGCGACGCGGCTCTCGCGGAGGCCCCCCGCTCGGCCTCTGTGGCAGTGGTTTTTGCATATTTTACGTCAACGCCACGACGAGAGATCAGTCTTATTGTTGAGATAAGAGATAAGGAACGGGTGCGAAATAGACGCGCGCGACGTCTCGCCATCGTGCCTTTCGAGGGAGTTCGACGCGAACGTCGGTCCATCGTCGATCTTATCCTCGATAGTACGATCGCGAGACCTCGATCGGGTCTTTATATCGATGAGAGGTGTACGAGAGGGATATATAAAATTGTCATCGCGTTGGATTCCATGAGCGAGGACCGATCATGGTGGTACGGTCCTCGACGACGAGCTCGTATCCCCGACGCGTCCGGCCGCAAGGCGCATTTGGTCTCTTCTTTTTTTTTTCTATCATGTTTACCTATAATTTACAGCGTGTATAGTAAGTTCACAAAATCCACACGTCTCCCGTCTGTCTCGTTTGTTAACCCTTAACATTACGTTTATTTTGTACTATAAGTCGCGGCCGGGAAACGAGCCGCTCGTTCCCCGGACGTTCGAGGTCCCGCTCTGCGACATCGTTACGCTATGCGTTTGTCTATTTGTTTGTTTGTTTGTTTCTTCTTTTTCCTTCACCACTTTTTGCCCTCCTCTTCTGCATTTTTCTTCTTTTTGCTTTTTTTGCTTTTTCATTTTTTTTTGCTTCTTCGATTTTAAATAATGCTTATGCGCGTGCGTGATACATGTACTATGTAATCATTATCCAACTACGGTATAGTACTATTATATACTATACGAGCAAACGGTACAGTAGTTGCCAGTGCACTCTCTGCGCGCGGTGTATGTGCAGTGATGACATTCAATTTTGCTCCCTCATTCACGTCACGCGGGCAGCCGTATTTTTCTCTCCATCTTTCATGAAGCTTATCGCTGCCCTTTGCGACGCGAATGATAACGAAGGTTCCCCGTTGTGCGGAAAGCCCGTTCACACCGTGACAATCGATAAATCGACGTGCTCGAACGCGCGCAGTTTCCAATATAGCAAAACTAGATCGAATTATAGCATAATATTGTTAATGCGACACGATGATCTTTCTGAACCAACGCGATCGCCTCTTTAGTGACGTTCGAATCGTATGCAGAAAAAGCGGATCGAAAAGAAGAAGTGTAAGACTTCCCTTTTTGTCTTTTCGTCACAACTCATGTTTATATTAATTTAGAAGATATTATTTAACAAATAATTGGAGCCAAATTTGTGGAATCAAGCGTCCGTTTCGATTATTTGAATGAGCTCACACGCACAATTTTTTTCTTCGCATACGCTTCTCGAAAGCGCGCGCGCACGAGCGAGCCACAGTGTGAAATCTCCCTCGCGTCTCGTGTCAAGCCTTGTGTCACACACGACATCTATAAAGGATTCTCAATCCGTAAAACACATATTATAGAAACAACATGCAACATTTTATCCTACGCCGTGATACAATAATGGTACATACATACGCGTACGTTTGCGCGCGTGCAACGCGCGCAACGCGTACATGCATCGCGCGGGTGTCGTGTACATGTGTAACGTGTACGTGTGTGTGTGTGTGTGTATGTTTGTTTTCTCTCTGCGTGTACATATATATACATATAGACCAAGTATAATTTTTACACCGGATATAACCGGACCCGAGGACCTTGAAAATTTTGAAGACGAAAGCGCGCGCGTCTCGCACTTTCGACTTTCGGCCGCGGATCCGATCTCTTATACGCGTACCTCGACGAAAATCGACCGTAACGACGAAATCTAATATATTATTCTCGAGAGCCCTCGAGACTCTCGGAATTGACGCGAACAAAATCGGAGAGAGAATCGAGGAAAAAGGAAATAACAAAATAATAAAAATAAAAATTTCGTTCGCATACGGACGCCATTTCGACAAAATTCATTTTGAGCAAAGCGATACGACGAAATCGACAACAATTTAGAAAATCGAGTCAAACGCGGATTTTTCGAAAGACAAGAGACAACCACCAATGAAGCTAAGTTTATCGCGAAAGGGATACGTAATTTCGGAAGAAAAATCGGTCCGAGATTTCTGGCCGCTCCAAATACATTTCCGCGTATAGCCAATGTCGCGATAATATAATAATGTGACTAATTCTAAATTCATTTTAATTCTACGTTGATTATCTTTTAGGTACGTGTGTTTTTTTGTAATTTCCTCGACTGTAACGTTGCCCTCTGTTCTATCAATGTGTATGTGTGTGTAAGTGTTGGGTAAGTGGAATACCTTTACTACGTATGCGCTCTCCTATAATCCTTACGTATAACCAAACAATATTAAACCCTGGGTTTAACCGCCTCTTCCCGTCTGAAATTCCGCGCCTGACATTATTATCTTAACTTTCAAATTTAGCTCACTGCCGATATAATTGGATCCTTCTACTTCTTAAACTTAACGCTAATTCATTGTACCACTTAAAGGTATCCTTTCTCCCTCCCGTCTTTGTTGTATGCCTCTGCTTAGCAGAACAGCCGAAAACAATAGATATATTTATATCATTATAACTTGGCATACGCGACCGTATCTATTTACACGAGCATGTGTTCTGCGTGATGTCCATGCGTGTGTGTATGTATGTGTCTCTGTCGTCCATTTCCTCTCTTTCTTTCTCTCCATCTCCCCGGTGTGTGCGTATGTGTGTACGTGTTGCGCGTGTGTGTATGTTCCTATCTTCATCACATACGTAAACGACACATAACATCTTTGAATATCCTTCCCGCGGCTTCTCCCCGTGGAATTAACTTCCCTATGACTATGTAATCTTCGTCGTCCAGCATCATCAATCCCATCCCCGGTTAACTTCGTGCGCCCTCGAGATAATCGGTGTCACCTTCGTCGGAATATAAATTTCGCTTTTTCTCTATCGCTATTTCTTGTCGTTCATCAGTACATCGCCGACTTTCGGCAATTAACGCTCTTTCTTTCCGCGTTCTCGCTCGCTCTCTCGCCACCCTCTTTCTCGCCTCCACTTTCAGCGAGTGAACGCGTCGCAATTTTGACAACGGACTTCGCAAATTTGGCTCTTCCTCCTTTCCTCCGAACCATCTCGCACGCGAAAACATCTTCGCGAAAAACCGCGCACGCATTTATTCACACGGCTATTCGCTAAGACTTACAGTTGTATATACGTACACTTGTGTTACTTTATAACGCGCCCTCGCAATAAAAATGGAAAGAAAACAAACGGATGTATTATACTAATAGATAGACATCATCGTATGATTCGAGGATCTCGGAACTTTTCCCGAATTTCCTGGAGCTTTTGACGAATTCTGTTGGCGGGATGAAATTAATCGCGGCGGAGAGTAAATGCATATAATTGACTAGCACTGGATAAATTCGTACTGATTTACGATGCGAGCGAAGATAGATCGAAATTGGTTTGACTGTGATTAACAAGCTCCGAGATCCACGATCTTGCGTTACCCTACGCCAGGGTAGCAATGGCAGGAGAACTGCTCCGACACTAACTGGACAAGTAGTAATAGTAGTAATGGCTGTACGGAATGTACAGATTTTTATTATACAGTGTAATCATATAGCTATTGTGTTCCCTGTGTGTATAATGCATTGCAAAACAATGAGGTAGTACTGTCATACTTTTTTGGCAGAGTATACGCGCGCGTGCGCGACGAGTGCTCGCGTACATATTTGGCGTATATTGAATGATATAAAAAGAAAAGAAGAAAAAAAGGAAAAGAAAAAAGAAAAACGGAAACAAAAATGAAATTGAACTCTCTCTATCTATCTATCTATTTCTTCGGGTTCTATCTCGTGTACTATTGTATCCCCGGCTCGCGCACGACGCGCTTTAAATACTAAATAATTCTCTATATATCATCTATTGTCTCTGATAAACTTACGGTATAGGCGGTATCGTTGTGAGAATAACCATTTAAACTTTCTGCATAAAACAAAAGGGAGAACAAATACAACGGAAAAAAAATAAGAGAGAATAATCTGTATAAAGTGTAAATACTGTAACAAGTAATATCGTGGGTGCCATCCTGACTAGGAGTATATATCTCTATATATCTATACATATAGGTAATGTGTAATATAAATCTATTGCATTGATCACATCTCTTATACAACCGGGATAGCAACTATTTCGCGCGCAATCGCGCGCACTATTTTCCTTCACGTAATCGATGGCTCTATACGCTATATTCTCGGTACGCGACTATTGCTCTGCGGACAAAAGTCCGCATCTTTTTAAACATTGTAAACAGGTAACAAAGTGGTAGTGATTGTTTCGCCGCGGGATTTAACCGCCGCTGCGAGAAACTTCCGTGGCGAACGCGAGTGGACGCGTTTCTAATTATTATTATTTTAGAAAAATCAATGTGTCAGCGTAATGATGTATCAACGTGAGATTATATTGCTCGTCTCTCTCGCACCTCTTCGATGCGCGTTCGCCAAAAAGTATTCATCGACAGTCGTGCGTCATCCCGCGGCTAATCGCACGATAATCATCCGTCCTAGTAATCTCGTAAATGTCATATAAAATCGTATCTGTATAAAAGGTCTGCGTGTCGTCGGGTGTCATCTCGGCGCGATATGTGTGTGTCACCACGATTATTATTATTATTATTATTATTATTATTATTATTATTATTATTATTATTATTATTATTATTATTATTATTATTATTATTATTATTATTATTATTATTATTATTATTATTATTATTATTATTATTATTATTATTATTATTATTATTATTATTATTATTATTATTATTATTATTATTATATAGCAATCAAAGTGTGTGTCATGCGTGTGTACGAACGGGCGAAATTAAAAGCTGATGTATCCAGAGTAAAGCGTCTGGTTTGGCACTGTGCGCATGTAACGTCTATAACGTCTCGTTCCGAATATATTATATCGCTCAAGTGTCACGATCCCATAGGATCGATTCACCAACAGCGATAATAGTAGCGGAAATAAGTGAATGGTTAACGATGAAATATACGACGGCGGGTGTAATTGCCCGATATCTACGGTAATGATGAATTATCTGAAAAAACACTGCGCTTTTCGCGCTGCGATTAGTTTACCTGAGTTTGCGTTGTTCTCTCGTCGCAGTCGTCTGCGTCGTATATGCTAACAATAAATGTCTCCGTGTGTGAGTGTATATTTATACGCGCTCTGTTCGCTCCGCTTTTTACCTTCACTCGCTATCTCTCGCCCGTTTAAGAAGCTCCTAGCGTTCAATAATTTTTACTTGACCGTTGCACTTTCATTGACTAGTTTTGTGATTCGCAGCGTTTTCGCGAGCTTATCCGTGCTCTTCCGTGTGTCTCTTCCTCCGTGAAACGAATCTTCATGGTCGTTTCTCTCGTTAACGCGTCTCGACGGATTTTTAAGGAGCGCACGGGGAGGAGGAAATTGTCCTCGCGACGAGGAAACGGGACGGCGTTCGCTGACGACGACGAAGGGAAAACGAAGGTACCTACTCTGCAGCCTCTCCTCTATTTCGCATCTCTATCCGCGGTCCGGTCTCGCCGTCAGCTCTAACGGGATGGTCGCCGGGATCGTTGCTTCCGGTACCACCGCGCGCGGACCGCGACCTCGACGACCGCGGTGGCGACGGCGAGGACGACAGCGACGCCGAAGACTTTGTTACTGGGGCACGGTGTCCGAGACCGAATGATTGGACTGCTGGAACGTCTTCATGTCGAGCTCCTCCTTGTGTTCCCGCGCGATGTGCCGTCTAACCGTGTTGTTCCTGGTGAACGTGCGCGAGCAAAACGGACACGGCACCCTGATACCCTGATGACGTTGCCGTACGTGGGCGCGTAAATTCGTCTCGTAACCGTACAATCTCTCGCAGAAGGGACACTTCAATTTTTTACCTGCAAAGATAAAAATATGCGTTTATGCAAATCGATCGTTTATAAGTTGACGATTTTACGGAGCTATCATGTACAAATTGCCAGCAATTTTTTTTTCGTTTCATTCACATTATTCGTATATAAATGATGAATTAAATAAATAGTTGTCGCAACTGATGTAAGAAAATACAGGTGATATACATATGACATGGCGATTAAAATATTGATAGAGATACAGAAAAATACTTAATAGAATTATCTCAAACATACATGATGTATTATAAATCAGTATTATATAAAAAAACAGTATCTTTTTGGGGGGATAAAGTTTGAATTTTTTCACGATTGCTCGATATTCTGCTAATCATAGTTCTACGCATATACGCGCGTGTAACGCCACGGCGAAACCTTCGTGGAAGGAAGCGTGGATGCAGATTGCGCAACCCAGCCTCTCTCTTTCTCTCGCATAGTTTTTTCTGCCTGCGCCTCGCCATTAGTCCACCCATGGGCAAGAAGAAAACAAAGTTCAGGCGAACGATTCATGATGGAATGTTAGGCCAATGCCTCCGAGATTGTTGGCGCGTGCAAGGCTATCCTCTAATAAACTTCCCATCTCGGCCCGATTAACTTGCGCCCGAAGTACCATTTATGGCGATCGGCGGTCCAGCCTCTTCGCGAGGGCGCGCAACCGATCTCGCGACTGGTATAAATTTCGTGTAACGTCTTCAAAGAAAAGATATGTCTTCTGCATATTTTTTTATGTTAAATTTCAATATTTAATCAGAACACGTTCCTACTATTTTTGTGTCTTACAATATATAATATTATATAATTCGTTTAATTAAATTGGTATTTCGTTTTAAGAAAATATAATGTTTTTGTATGTTTGAAGAAGTTAAATTAGTTTGCTAATGGGTCGGGCAGGTGAAATCCAACGCGTAGAAACCATACGCTGGCTGACATTACCGCTAGACATTCAAGAGAGA